GACCATTCTCGGACACGTCGTGTCGAAGGATGGCGTTCTTCCTGACCCCGCTAAGCTACGTGCTGTTCGCGAGTTCCCGAGGCCCGCGTCTCTCAAGCAGCTGCGTAGTTTCATTGGCCTTTGCTCATACTTCCGCCGCTTCGTCCGAGATTTCGCCTCGATCATGGCGCCTCTGACAGACCTACTTCAGGGAGACCGCAATTTATCTGCGTGGTCTCCAGCTTGCGACAGTGCCTTTGCGAAGCTCCGTGAACTGCTTACAACACCACCCATACTGCGTCATTTCGATTCAAGCGCTCCCACAGAAATCCACACAGATGCTAGCGGTGTCGGTCTTGGCGCTGTACTCGCCCAACGAAAGCCTGGTTACCAAGAATATGTTGTTGCGTACGCGAGCCGCACTCTTACAAGAACAGAAGCAAATTATTCGGTAACTGAGAAAGAATGCCTAGCGATTATCTGGGCCATTACAAAATTTCGGCCTTATCTGTACGGCCGCCCTTTCGATGTTGTTACCGACCACCACGCGCTCTGCTGGTTATCCTCGCTCAAAGATCCCTCAGGACGCTTGGCACGATGGGCTTTACGGCTCCAAGAGTACGACATCCGCGTCATTTATCGCTCAGGCCAGAAGCACGCCGATGCCGACGCTCTTTCGCGTTCGCCTGTTTCTACTGATATTGCGAGTGTCTCCATCCAAGACAACTTCCTTCCACTATCAGGACCCATCAACATGGCTGCGGAGCAGCGCAAAGATTCGTGGATTGCGTCTCTGATGGATTACCTATCTGAAACACTCGCCCACCCGCCATCTCGAGCGCTACACCGACAAGCCTCTCACTTCGCCATCCGTGATGGAATACTTTATCGCCGCAACTACCACCCTGACGGTCGCAAATGGCTACTCGTCATACCCAGCACCTCCACCAATTATAATATAGAACGGAGACAGTCAAAACTGTTATCCGAGACCAGGTAGGAGCGTAGGCCTAGCTATCAAAATCAGCGACAGTCCGGGCCGAGCTTCTCGTGCTTAGCACTGACAATGTGTGTGCCGAGATTTGCATGACCCACTACAATCATCATTACTATATATATATATATATATATATATATATATATATATATATATATATATATATATATATATATATATATATATATATATATATATATATATATATATATATAGATGCGCTAGGACAGCGAGCGAGGGCATATGAGGGATAGGAGATATTGGAAAGATGGAAACGCGGTCAGTTTGGCGCCACGTTGTTGACAATGCGTGTTTCCACGCGCGTTCGAAAAGAGAAGGGCGCGAGCCGCTGACGCAGCACCACGTGATGTGCCGGTCTGCTGATCAGCTTGCTGTGGCAGTTTTTGCGTCTTTGAGTCGCGTTTCGCGCCGCGGTGGGCGCGACGTAAAGTGCTTGTAAGTCATTCCGCACGCGCGAGCCGAGAAAGATGCAAAGCACGCGGGAACGCAGGAGGAGGTCCTTGTTATGCCGCTACCATACCCGTGTTGCGGAAGCACAAAATTTTGTGTAAAAGCAACTTGTTCTGTGTAGTAGCGCCATCTAGCACTTTGCGGAAGAAGCGTGGTGCAACGCGCGGAATCTTTGAAATTGTGAGGACTCCGTGTCTACGGTAGCACTAGACATAACAAAATCATTGCACTACCTAAAATCACGCCCACTCTCCAATGATTTCACTCCCAACGGCCATATAATATACGTATGCGTACACACGCAACTGAAGATCTCGGAAAAAAAGCAACAAAGGCTTTACATGTGACCAGGGGCGGCGCCAGGGGGGGGGGGGGGGGCAAGGGTGGGCTGGAGCCCCCCCCAAAATTCTCGCCTGCCCCCCCTATGCCCACCCAAGTGCCCGGAAGCATATATTGAAAACCTAGTAGGAGCAGAGCTAGCTTGCCCCCCCGGAGGAACTCACTTTTCGTGGTTGCCCCCCCAGTAAAAACATCCTGGCGCCGCCCCTGCATGTGACGTTTCGGCCGCAGGCCGTTCCCCCCCCCCCCCCCCCCCCCCCCCAAATCACAGACACACCTCGAAAGCGTATGTATGTGTAAAAAAATGAACTTAAGACTACCATCGTTAAATGGCTTCAAACAGACATGTTGTACAATGTTCCATGTCGTCTCTTCTATTTCCAAAATCATTTTTCACGCAAAATTCGCAAGCAATGGCGAGTTGACATAGAAACCATCGTGAGAGCGCAACTGAAGATGACACGCTGAAGAAACAGCCGGTTGGGAGTGTGCGCCTGTCTTCGTCTGTTCTGTGAGTCGTGTTTATTTGGCCCCGCTGCGGTGGTCTCGCTAAGGTACTCGGCTGCTGACCCGCAGGGCGCGGGCTCGAATCCCGGCTGCGGCGGCTGCATTTCCGATGGAGGCGGAAATGTCGTAGGCCCGTGTGCTCAGATTTGGGTGCACGTTAAAGAACCCCAGGTGGTCGAAATTTCCGGAGCCCTCCACTACGGCGCCTCTCATAATCATATGGTGGTTTTGGGACGTTAAACCCCACATATCAATCAATCAAATCGTGTTTAGTTGCGCTCTCACGATGGTTTCTATGTCCAAGTACCAACTCTCCCAACAGTCCGCTCTTCTGAATGGCGATTTGTCACGATTACCAAACATCGTGAAATGTAAGATGCAGTTGAGGAGGTTCAGACAACCGCCAAAATTTTTTTTTTTCATGCAGCTTTACCTCTTCGAGTGGTACTGAAATATTTACGCGCCTTCACATCGACCACCAGTCGCCAAATTAACGCATAAACAACCCCCGGAAAAAAATTCGTGAGCAGGGCCGTGAAGCGGGTACGTGTTCGAGAATGTTCTATAGATGCGTGTATTCTAAGAATTCCCGGATACTTTACCAGTTGCCCTCCTTTAGTGTCGCAGAATAGAAATTATTATCATTGTGCCCTAATACAAAACATAACATTAAAATAGGACGTACAATGACTAAAGCCTAAAAATATATCAACGAGGTGGTCAGATATTCAAGGTGCAGTTAGTTGGGATCGAGACTCTCAGCTACACGCTTCGTATGTGCGTCACTCACGCGTACCAAAGGGGTGACGATAGTATAGCGCGAAAACAAAACGACGACACAGAGACAAGAAGGACACGAAAGACACGAGCCTTCTCGTCTCTGTGTCGTCGTTTTGTTCTCGCGCGATAACTATCGTCATGCCATACCAACTAGCCCAAGCTGCCACACTTCTAAGTTACCAAAGGGGGTCCGCAAGAGGATAGCGTATGACGCATGCGCACTGCCGGCAACCGCTAACGCAACACTTTGCGTCCGATATTCCGGAACGTCCGATTGATGACCGATGAATGCGATTCCTCATGAACAGTAATGAAAAAATTAAGAGTACTGTATCTATTTTGGAAGGGTGAATCGTATTGGCGCCAAGACAAGATCCGGCAGGAGAAAAGGAACAGCCAGGCTGAAGCATTCGTGGTGTTGTCTTTCGGTGTTTTTTAACCCCCCAGCTACATTACCTTACATTACAAATAAACAGAAAATGTTGAGTCAGTTTATTAGCATTGGTACACTTTTTAACATATAGAGGCATTGTCTGGGGGTGTAGCTTAGATGGTAGAGCGCTCGCTTAGCATGCGAGAGGTACGGAGATCAATACCCCGCACCTCCACTTTTTTTTTTTTTTTCGGATCATTTCGTTTTTTTTAATCTGACTATTTTTCAGATTTCGAGCTGAACATCGAAGTCCGGCACGATAAAATATTCACAACATTGAACACGTCCGAAAGCCTTATATAATGCATATATATATCATTCGTTGTTTCTCCAGCGCAGTAGTAGTTCAGCACTCTCCCCCCCCCCCTTGAATTTTCCGATTCATTACCATCAAAAAAGAGGCGACGATATAAACACGAGTGAACTCTTCACTGCACGGTGCATTAAATGTGTCATGGTCACTGCTGAAGGGTGTTTTCAGTTGTGTAAAAGAATTTGTACGTGGTTAGTTGCATTGGCTGCGGGTTACAATGATGCTGGGTCTACATTGTGTGGTTCTGTTGGCTATGACAAAAATAGATCCAAGTTCAAAATAATAAAAAATTGAGTTATGTGTGACATAAAAAAAACCTCCCCGTCGGGGAATCGAACCCCGGTCTCCCGCGTGACAGGCGGGGATACTGACCACTATACTAACGAGGAACACGCTGCGAATTGGTGAAAGTTTTTTGAACTTTCTTGAGACCAACGCCTCCTATATTAAGGTACTTTGCGAATGGTTTGTGCAACGCGTCCTCTAGAAAGATGCCTGAGGAATGGCTCGCGCTCCCAGCGGAGTCAGCGGAGTTGGCCTGCCTTCAGTTTTAAACAAGCGCAGCGCGGGGACGCTCGCGACCGACACTATCATCACGGCAGCGGGCGGTACTACCAACTAAGCGTTTTTCCTCTGCGGCCCATAGGGACGCGTCAGTCGAGAGTTGTTCGAGACCAGCAACTGTACAATACTGTTTCGGAGGCTATGCAAAGTGTTGCGTTGTTGCACCATCCGCTACAGGTGACGCTAGCGACCGAGAACATTCTAAAATGAAGGGGAAAAAGGGTGTGGCGACTGTCTTTCTTCTCATGCGGCAGGCATCTAAATAGAGGAGGCGTCGGTTTGTGTTACCAGCGGAGTCGGTTTGCCCAGAGTTATTCAATTTGGTCTTGCCTTCAGTTTTGAGCAAGCGCCACGCAGCGGCGCTCGCGACTGACACTATTATCACACGGCATTTTTTACTAGCGGGCCCTAGGGGCACGCCGCTCGACAGTTGTTCGAGATCTGCAACTATACACGACTGTTTTGGAGGCTATGCAAAATGTCGAGTTGTTGCACCGTTCATCACAGGTAACACCAAACACCGAGAGTAATCGAAAATAAAAGAGGAAGTTTTCTCTTCCTCCATGTCTGCTAGGAAGATTTCTGTGCAGACATTCTGCCTTGAGTTGTCGTCATTTGCCGAGGGGTAGCGCCACGTTTCACCAACGCCTCCTCTCACCCTATTGTTTTCAATGTGGACTGGTTTGAAGGAGTTACGAGCGTTACCAGGCCAAGTCTCTCTCGTTTCGATGGTGTGCGCAGTTCAAATGGTACACAGTTTGAAAACGTTACGAGGTTGTATTGCGCGTTGTCCTGCTGCGTGAGCGTCTGCGCCCGAATTCGGCCGATGGCTCGTAACAGCGACCTCGGCGATGAGTGCGAGCCACTACTAGCGACCAGTGACCGCCAAATTTACTGTGCATCCAACACGTGCTGCGCCAACGGCTCCGGCAGTTATGCAGAAGGCCTGCACTTTTATCGGTTCCCCGAGGATGTCACGCGCTGTAGGAAGTGGGTAGAAAACTGCGGAAATGATACGTTATCCGGTAGACCTGTGACAGAGTTGCACCGCAATACCTATCTGTGCCGAGCGCATTTCGACGCGACCCAGTTCGAAACGCGCGATGGGTCCCGCCGTTTGAGACCCGACGCTGTGCCGACCGTCTTTACGCCCGTCAATTTCCAACACTTGGAGATGGACCACGACTACTTGAGCGCGTCGCCACGTGTCGTCCCGCAGCCGTCACAAGCTGAGTTGCCCACGTCGCTAAGGGTTCTGCCGCGGGAAGTTGCCTCAAGCGAAGCTTCGTCTCAAGCAGGGCTGCAAATATCAGCCGCGGGTTCTGAGCCAGTTGAGAGCATAACCTCGAACAACGGCCTGCCTGGAACGGACAATGCAAGTACCATCGAGCCGTCGCCGACAGCTGCGACGCTAGCTAAGCCCCGCGCAGCAGGGGCGGCCACGCCGCAGAAGGTTTCCGCCGGCACCCCTCACAGAAGACAACAAACGGCTCATGTGCAGCGGAAACAACAATCGGTGCTGTTCCGGCGCGTTGCGCCACCTGCCAAGGAAACTCCGCTACAGAAGTACATGCTACTTTGTGCAGAATTTAAAACTGAGCTGAAGCTGGTGGAAAAACGCAAAGAAACACTGGAGAGACTGTTTACCGGCGTGCAGGAGCTGTTGTTTCAAGAAGCCGAACTGCTGAATACAGAGGATACTGCAATTTTAGCGGGATCTCTTGTTAAGTTTCAACAGGAGCGTTACTGCCGAAGGCCGGACGGTGCGGCCGAAAAAGTACTGTGCTCACTGTGGTCGAGATATCAGAAAAAGCAACCGCAAAAGGTGCAGCAGCGACCATTTGCCCAAGTTGCTGTCTTCGTCATGGCGGAGTCCCAGCCGGGGCGAGTCATTCTTGGAAGGCGGAAGAGCCTTCTCGGTGGAGGCCTGTACCAGGTTCCTTGCGGAGAGATTGAGTTTGGAGAAACGTGGGAAGAGGCAGCATGTCGAGAAGTTTTCGAAAGCACGGCAATGTACGTTAGCAATGTGTCAGTGTGCTCTGTTGTAGACACTGTAGAGGAGGCTGCGGGCTATCATGCGGTGACGGTGTTCATGAGAGGCACTGTAGGTAGTAGCTTGGTGGCACCAGAGCCAGAAGCAATGCAACCTGACCTATGTGACTGTTGGCACTGGAGGCAGTGGGAAGAGTTGCCAAGCTTGAATGAGCTGCACTGGCCTCTTAGGGACTATAAAGCTGAAGGCTTGCAACCGTTTCCCTAATGTCATTTGCTGTACGTTCGCGATGTTTTTCCGTATTGTTGGTTCGCATTTAACTACTGCATTATTCTAAGCCCATGTGTTTGTGTGTGTCTGTGTGTGTGTGGATAACCAGTGTAAAAATGGGAAAATATAAATTCTCAAGCATACAGTTGTAAACAATGTGTTACACAAAAGGTTCGCTTGGCTTTTACCAAGAATACTGCCCCAGAATTTCAACACGCCATTTTCCCTCTTTAGTTTACGTTTCCTGCCAAAATGCTATGATAAAAAAAAATCTTGAGCCAAATTCACTGGTAGCATTCAAGTTTTATATGTATCGATATAAGCATATATATCTTATTTAAACACTACCCCTGCAATATTGTGCCCCGCCGCGGTGGTCTAGTGGCTAAGGTACTTGGCTGCTGACCCGCAGGTCGCGGGATCGAATCCCGGCTGCGATGGCTGCATATCCGATGGAGGCAGAAATGTGGGCCCGTGTGCTCAGATTTGGGTGCAGGCTAAAAAACCCCAGGTAGTCGAAATTTCCGGAGTCCTTCACTACGGCGTCTCTCATAATCATATGGTGGTTTTGAGACGTTAAACCACACATATCAAATCACTGCTGTATTGTGAGAGCAAATAACTGGGGAAAATATGCAAAAACCAAGATGTAAATCATTGTTTCTGCCATGATTTACATCATCACGGCGCCACAGTTGAGTACTGCAGAAGTTTTGATCGTCTGGTGCTCATTAACATGCACTGACGTCACACAGTACTAATGCGCGCTCTACTTGCTAAGTCCTCTCCATATTCTCATATCCTATGTCACCGCACTACAACGAAGCTGCTTTGTCGGCACTTTTGAGAAATGAGGTAGCATTAACCAATGGTTGCGCTACGTGCTGTAAGTACACGAACGTGCATACAGGAATGTGCATTTCTGAAGACACGTCCTTCGCGGCCGTCATAATTCGATGACATCATTGAAGAGCGGAGAGTCCTTAGCTAGTCTACAGGGTGTTGACAGTACAAGGCAGAGTTTTCTAAGATTAACCAGAGGGAACTCTGGTGCTGCGATTGTTAAGCCATCATGGGAAAGATGTTTAGCACACGGGTTGCCTACTCATCGTGCTTGCGGGCTCCAAATGCACCTGTGACTTTATTTATTGCTGTGTTTTTTTTTTAATAAAAACAAACTGTTGTGAAATTCGTGAGCCGATTTTAGTTGGTAAGCCTAAAAAAGGTCAAGGGTGGTGAAGCGTAACTGCTATACCTTTGCTGAACTTTGTCTCGCAGCAAGGTGAATTCGGGCCCCACGAAGCCTAGCGGAGCCGAAAGAACGAAGATGGGCAAATTTATGTACTACCCACCATTCAAGCACCGTGTGTAGCGCCTCCCTGTGACTCTAGCACCTGAGTTTCCTCCAGTGTATAGGAAACTCCATGGTACAGGCGCCTCTATTATTCCGCCTCTATTAAAATGTAACCGCCGAGCCAGAATTGAAACTGTGACCTTCGGGTCAGCAGCCCAGCACCAGAAGTGCTAAAGCGCCACAGCAGACGATATTGTGGGAGTTACAAAATATACTAATTGCAAACTATAGGAAAGGCAGTCAAGGGTAGCAGAAAGTTGTTCGTACAAGCCTGCATATCATATTAGGGACCGTTGGAAGAAGCGCTTGTCCTGCATTGCACATAAATTAAGCTTAAAATGTGTGTGTGCGTATTTATGCAGGGTGTCCTAAACATGATGCAGCACGATTAAAAAAAGTGGAAATCCGTTACGTAAAGCACACCTAGTGCATATGAAGTCCGCAAGTGTTGAAGATTGGGTTAATTGGTTCGTCGTTCTTGAACTGGTATAGCCTATTATGGGAAAGAAAAAATAGCCGCGCAGACCAACACAAGAGGACAGAGAGACTGATTGCGTGCTCACTCTTTTTGACAAAGAAAGTTCGTGACAGGCGACTGGACTGCAGCACGCATTGAGAAGTAGCCCCCTCAAAGACAATCACTGTGAGGTAGTAAGCTTAGACAGCGCTCCAGCCTTCTGCAGGTGAGAGTGTAATTGCGTGTTATTTTTCATATTTCCCACGCTTTCTTTATCGGGTAGAAAAAATGAGCACATTGGTAGTACGTTGCTGAAAATAGCGCAGTTAGATGTTGCTGAGCATGTCTACATATGCCTCACTGACATTTTGATTCAGTGAGTAGTTGTTGAGCTAGAAACATAATTAGAACTCAACAAAAAAGATAGTGCTGGTTATCATAGTATACCGGGAACATGGTGTTCGTGTAATGACATTCCTCTTTTTTTAGAATAGTCCTGCGTGATGTTTCGGACACATCGTATATGTTATCTTATGGATAGGGCTGCCATATTGGGTGGTTAGTCTTATGTTTAGCATCTTTAACAACTAAATGAACAGTTTTATGGTAGGAATGTATGCACAAAAACAGTTGTGTTGGTGCACACGATCTTTCACGGCAGTTTTAATTTACGTAACAATATATAAAAGCAAGAGAACAGTGGTTTAATAGCCCAAGGTGGCACCACCTACATGTCTTGTGAAAAATGGTCTATACACGGGGTGTTGCAGCTATCACCTGACTGTGATGGGATGATGTATCACTTGATGGCATAAGGTGATGTTGCATGCAAATGTTTTCATTCCATAATGTTTGATGCGATGATGTCGACGTGTCACATTTAGCGGGATGACTTGATTATGTTCCGTCAGCGCGACAAATATGGTGCCACCACTTCGTTTCTTCGGTTTCGATACCGTCGGATTAATGCCAAGTTTTTTGCATCTTGGGCCATGCAAGTCTTTCTAATGTTTTGGCACTTACGAAGAATACCTTCCCTCAACGGATGTCAAGTTTCTTTCCACAGCTTCACTGCACATTCACTTATGCTGGGCCAGGATGAAGTGTCATTTCTTTTTCATAAAAACTTTCTCGGTCTATTATTAAAGGCATCCTGAAACGGTTTCGATAAGGGTCGTTTACAGACTGATTCAAGCTCTGTGCTTAAACTGTGTTAGTTATTACTACTCTCTGAAGCTGCGAATCGCTGCAGATCACTCCAGCTCAGCTAAACATGTTTTCAACGACCCATTCACAGTACGACATCCTCTGGTAGCACAACGTCATCCAGGCTTCTGATCTGGGTGGCTGTGGAATGAGTGGAAGTGTGATCGGCTGGTGTGGTGACGGCACCTGTCGAAGCAGATATCAATCACTTTGCGATCTTTGTCTCTGTTGCCAGACAGCATCCGTGCTGCCAGGTGCCGGACTGGGCTACGGTCTATGAAATAGCATGCCATCTGGTTGCGTGCATTCTGCAAGGCTACAACTGGGCAAAGCACAAGTCGTCAAGTACACTCATAAGAGCTCTGCGATGATCAGCATGTCTCGTGAGTTGAAGAAGCACGACATTGGTGAGAAGGAGGGTATGATATAATAGTCCGTAGTGGCCTCGGTACATGGCGTGTGGCTGAACTTGTGGCGCAAATGGTTTGATAATGCTCTAGTCTAAACGCTGACAAAACATCGAGAACTGTTTTAAGGTCTTATACACACTAGCGACTCGCTTTGGTTTCATGACCAAGTTGGCCACAAATGGACAGTTTTGTCAAAATGCATGTGCTTTAGTCGAATCTCAATGCTATTATAATGCCACCAGCACGTAGTGGGTCGACAGCAAGAGCGGCTCTCAATCTGGAGGCAAAAGAAGATCGCGTGTCTTCTCTGCTCGAGAGCCAGCCACGACTGACGCATCGTCCTAGAGCTAGCTACCCGGTCGTTCAATAAATCCCCCCAGTACTTGTGACTCATCGTGACAAACTGGTGGAGGTGCTGGGTAGCCTCACGGATGCTTCAGACCCCCCCAGGAAGCCGTAATACGAGTCCAGTGCCAGTCAACACTCCCGTGCATCGGACCAGCCGCCGAATCAAGGGATTGCCTCCGGAAGTCAACGATACTGCTCCCACCACGTCAACAAACATGACCAGCACTTCGGTACAAACCTTGGCAACCAGCACGGGAAGCACGTCGCCGAACCGCTATACGTTGGAAAGCCCACGAGCACCGCCGACGTTCCATGGTACGGAGCGCGAAGACGTTGAGGACTGGTTGGCGGACTTCGAGCGCGTAGCCAACTTGAATCAGTGGGATGACGCGGCGAAACTGGGTCGTGTCTACTTCTATCTCGAAGACGGGGCTCGCACGTGGTATCAAAATCGAGAGGAGCAGCTGACGACGTGGCCCGAATTCTGTCGTAGACTTCTGCAGACATATGCCAGCGCCGACCGCCAAGAAAGAGCTGAGCGAGCTATTCTTGCCCGCGTCCAGTCGCCAAACGAAACTGTGACCGCGTACGTCGAAGACATGACGCGTCTCTTCCGACGGGCAGATTCAAGAATGACGGAGGACAAGAAGTTGCGTCACTTGATGCGTGGTGTCAAGGACCAGCTTTTCGCCGGCCTCGTGCGAAGCCCTCCAAAGACGGTCGCGGAGTTCTTGTCTGAAGCCGTGACAATGGAAAAAATGCTACAACAGCGATCAAACCAATACGACAGGCAAGTCAGTGGCATGTCCACTGCTGACATTTTCGCCGCCGCTGGGACCAGCAATGACTCCTTACGTGAACTCATCCGTAATATCGTACGTGAAGAGTTGCAAAAGGCTGGTGTAACACCTCATCCTACGGTTAGCTCTATTGCAACTGTGATCAAGGATGAGCTGCAGCAGGCCCTCCGGGACACTTTGCCTCCTGGTACAGCTGCATCAGCTCCTGCTGAATACCACCGTGGGACAACCTACGCGGCACTTCGATAGCGTTTGCCCACGAAGTAGCAAACGTAACCAACTGTCTCACGTCAGAAATAGTGGATAACGCAGACACATCAATGAGCAACATTGACATCAATCCTGATCTGTCCACCGATAACCAGACTGCGCTGCGAGCGCTCTTGTTCGAGTACAGGTCTTGCTTCGCAAGTTGCTCAAAGATCCGCCAGACGTCCATCACTCAACACAGGATCATCACGTACGAGGACGCACGCCCAATACACCAGCACCCCTACCGCGTGTCGGCTAAAGAACGTGAAGCAATACGTACACAAGTTCGCGAGATGCTTGACGATGGCGTTATCGAACCATCCAACAGC